TATGAAGGAACCACTCAGGTTCAAGAGACTAGAAAGATCAATTTAGTAAGACAGTATGAAAGCTTTCTCTGTGGAAAGTCTGAGACGCTGTCTGAAGTACAACAAAGATTTAATTGCCTTATTATTGATCTAAGCGCTGTCGGTAGGGAGTACTCTAATTCTGAAAACTTGACTAAGTTTCTAGAATGTCTTCCTGAGTCTTGGGATACCTTTTCCATGTGTCTCAAGTTGTCAAACGACATRTMCWCTMTTTMTYTTTCTACTTTATACGGGATTCTGCTTAACCATGAGCAATCTCGTCAACTAAAAAGAAATCTTGTAAAAGAATCCAGGAAAATGAAAAGCTCTTCTTTAGCTTTGATCTCTGAAGCTCCTTTAGTTGAAACTTCTACTCCTTTTGTTCTTCTCTACCTCCCGGGTCATTACGGAGATGGACTCTTCTGAGGACATTCCAGAATCTGCTCTCTCAAATTTTGATGAGTCCCTGGCACTCCTAACCAAGTCATTTAGGAGGTTTGCCAATAAGAGTAAATTTCGCAGATCTCCTCAGCTGTCCCTAAGGGAAAAGCCAAAGTCTGAAAGAATAGACAAGGCTTCATCTGTCTGCTACAATTGTCACCGTCAAGGTCACTTTGCAGGTAAATGCAGATCTAAGAGGACTGTGACGCCATCTTTCAAAACTACTTCATCCTCCAGGACTATAGATGAGAAATATTCTAAACTDAAGGAAARGTACAAAAAGATGAAGAAAAACCAGCAAAAGTCCAAAGGTCTTGTTGCTGAAGAGCATGATTGGGCTGAATCATCTGAAGAATCATCTTCTGATGAAGAGGATAAAGCCTACGTATGCCTGATGGCAATAAATGCTGACGAAGAAACTTCTGAAGCATCCACCTCCTCAGAGCCATCTTCTTCCTCTACTCAGGTATGTTTCATGAATGAATCTTCTTCCTCTAGTCTTTCTGCACTGGATATTCTGACTGTTGACCTTTACAATGCCCTTAATGGCAAATCAAAAGCTAAGTTGCTTAATATTGATCTTCAAGAAAAATTGAAGATTTGCCATTTTAAGATCAAAGAACTTACCTCTGTTGAGGAAAATCTTAAAGATCAGGTTATTGTAAACCAAACCATCACTGTTGAACGTGAAAAGGCTATTGCTGAGCGTGAGCGAGCTATCTCTGAACTCAAGGCTGAGAAAGCTACCATAGAAGGGTGGTGTAAAGCTTCCTATAAAGCCTCTGAGATCATTAAYGCTCAGGTTCCCGCCAAGACAAAGACTGGTCTAGGATTTTTCTATGATCAGGAAGGTAGTGTTGATGTTGACAAGTCCATGCTTAAGTTTGGTACTTTTGTATCTTCTATTCCCAACACTTCTTCCTCTCAGTTCTCTTCTTTCTCTGAGAGTCATCTTGAAGGAACTCCTTTGAGTTCAGGATGCAAAGACAAAGGTAAAACCATTGTCACA